CCATATGTCTTCTCCGTTTTGACTTGCTGGAGCAACCCCTTTTCCTGTTGATTGACGAAGATAAGAGAGTTGTTTACGACATATGAGTTCTTTCTCCCTTCAGTTTTTCATTAGCAACGTTCTTGATATTGTAACGCTTATCTTCAATAAAATAAAAAGTATATCAGGAGACCGCGGTACACTTTATCAATCACACTTACGCTTATCGATGGAACACCATAATTGACTGTTGCTGGTAGGCAAAACAAATGCTAATATCAGGGTACGTACACAGGGTTTGCCACAATCAAAATAGATAATTGAACATATACATTATTACTTGCCTATATTAGTAGGCTCACACAGCAGCTAACGAAAAATATTCGAATATTTGGTCCTGCAGGACGGATTGTGGGCACAAGCAGCGTTTTCCATGCACCTTGATCCAGGAACGTGTGCGATACGACGATAGCTAGCAAGCACCCTGAAGCAAGTAGTTGGAATTGTATGGACATAAAATGGAGATAATAGTACATGTTTATTTACTTGGAAGTGTAATTAGATTGGGTTCTTTACACGAAACAATCTCTGTGTGATGAAAAACTAAAAAGTACTAACACATTATGGAGATCAACGTTTACTTATTTGTATTTGTTCTCGGCATCGAATGGCGGTACTTCTCTATGCTAGTCATCTTTGTTGTCTGGTAGGGTGTAGCTGGAGCCAAATCGTTAATATGTATTTTTGTTTTGTAGGCCCTATCGAGGTGAACGTTGCCGCCATATATATAATTTTGCTTTGCCCACTTAACAGAATCGATCGGTGGTGCTTTCCGAAATTTTCGTTAAGAATATTTCTTAATGGCAATATTTAAGGAACCGAAAATTTTTCATGAATTTGCCACATCATTATGATCTGGACACTGAATTAATCGTTGTAAACTAATTTAGTACTTACCTTCTACTACTTGCCTTGCGCTCAACCATTTTTCCGAACAGCATCCTTGTTAGGCAGTCACTCGTTTTCTTCATGAAGACATTCGAATCAATTATTTATACGGTTCTTCATAAAGATCGTAGTTCCTATCGGATACAATATGACCAGTAGGCCAATGATCACGCATGCATGTTGGAAGTCCAGTGTCCTTTAAGCCCTTATAAACCCTGATCGCGTTCATAATTAATTATTTTATACATAAACATTTATATGGATGCACACATGTGGATATTCCTAGTTTATGCGGTCATACGTCGTCTGTACTACAAGACGTAGTTGAAAAAACCATTACTACGTTTCTCTCGTCTGCGACATACTCTAACATATCGAAAGAATCAAACTTGAGAAAAAAATATCGCATTAGCTCCCTCCTCCATTGTTAGGACTTTTTATCGGAAAGAACAAGTGTGCGCGCCTGAATTCAGGTTTAGATCACGTCACATATTGCTAACCAGCATGCAAAAATGAACTCTAGGCCTAAAACAGGTTAATCAGTGATAGCAGCTGCCGAACCGCTTACATATATTGATTTGATTAATACCAATCAGTTGTGGTCGGTGCATTGCCTTGTGTTAGGTTAACGCAGTTATTTAGTACATAATTTACAGTACTGCCGACCGCGGTGCGGGTATCTCCACTCGCAAAGGCTGAATCTTGATTCTGTTTATATGTAGTCTATGTATATACACAGGATTTGGTCACGTAACGTTTCTAAAAATAGGCTAAGACGTTCCACAGTAAAACACGTACGCTAGAGTTTGCCCAAATAGTAGATGCGAAAAAGTAACAAAAATTTGTGCCTAACTATATATCTTCACAACTACGGTTCACAAGAAAAAATTGGCTTGATTACCCACTTTTTACTATGGTCAATTGTTGCGTTTGCATTGCTCAACACACTACCAATAACCTCACTTTTACGAAAGACGATAATATTTCAAACTTTCCTTAGGATTCAGTCAGTTTTTGAGAGCTCATGCTTTAGATTTAAAAACCGCGCCTTTGGAAATCAAAGATCCGTATTGTCCTGAAGGTCGTAAGAAGTATTCGAAAGTGAGGTGAGAGATATGGCGGTGGTTTGAAGCTTATTTAAACCAGTGAAACCTTGCCCTTAGTGCAATCATCGGTAACCACTTAGGTATTGCAACACAACCGACATCATTATGCAATTCAATAAGTTGTACCACAGCTCAAAAAAGCAGGCTAGAGTTTTTAGCTCCAAAGACTTGAGTAAAATATGCCTGAATATCACTGACATTATACAGTCTTCTGCAGTATTTGATGTAACTTCCAAGACTCGAAAGTGGGCATTGTAAGAGCAGTTTCGCAGAGCAGAGCAGAGAAATGCCTTCCTCTTCCATACGATAGGAAGGCGGAAGTCAGCTGGAAAGAAGAAAGTAAATAGGACTAGAAAACAGGAATCCACTGAAAAGTTTACTCGTATCTCGGTTCCCTCTATCTCTCGGAGGTACATCTCATAGATCTCGTCCTGTTCTTTTGATACGATCGACTTCGATGTCAGACTATACATGACTGCTATCCATTCGAAGCTCTTACAAATATGCTGTTAAAATGGTCGAGAATTCAGTTTTCTCCTCCTGTGAGCTAACTAAGAAAATTCTTTGGAAACAATTGTTCCTTATGGTACAAGAGTCAACGTCGTCGACACCTATCACGGCATTCAATATTCCGAAACAATGCCATATTGTATCGGTGTAAAAGTGATCTTCTCAAAATATCGCAGGCAAGATTTTCACTGCAAAACACGAGTGCTAGTGACCACTGAAATAGCAAAATCCAAAGTGCTCCGCGCTGAAAAGGGGATAGGCCATTCCTGATGGTAGCCCTGCGACATTTCCAATTGTCAGGCTAGTATAATACAGTATAATCATTTGCAACTTAAACCAGAACAGTGACGGTGACGGTGACGTCAACAGCTCCGTACTCCATACGTCGTACAGCGATGGTCGGTATCTGGACATATAAAAAGTGTGCACGATAAATCGAATCGTAATTTTGTAAAGAATAATTACACAAAGTTCCGTTCATCAGCCTTATTTGCAATGTAATCCCCTTCTCGTATAGCGAAATATATGGTAGAACTACACATGTATACATTATCGACCGTGAACTACCTTTATAGCATTGCAATAAAGGTAACAACAGTCGTGGCAGTGGTCGGCTTTACTGACGCCATCAACGAAACCGGCGATCCAGACCTGCTACTAATGAAATGATAATCCCAGCGAGCAACTTTTTTACTTCCTAACCTCAGCTCGTCTTGGGTGAAACATACGAGATTTATTACGAATCGTTTAATCATTGCACCTGAAACACGAAGTAATAAAAAAACTCATTTGATGTTCAACTAAGTTGAGTTGTGACGTTCTCACGGTGCAGAATCATTGAGTAATGATTCGATGCAATTGACGCCCTATTCAAAGTTAATATGTAGGAAGCGATTTTTGGTACAATACGCGTTCTTCGAACATATATATA